TTATACACGCCTTAACTGAGTACTTAGTACAAAAGCAGCACACATTATCACTAGTATATCAGAATATCTGTCAAATAAATCATATTTGCCTTTAAGCAGAATCCTGTAGGGGATCCCTAGAAGCTTTGACTGCAATGAATAGATGTGCTTGCCCTAAATCTTCTGCCCTGGGGACTTGTGGGTGAAAATAAGGTCGAATTTCCATTTCTCACATAGAAGGCAAATAAGCACTTTAGAATCTGAGTGTAGAATAAGGTCAAAGAAGCTTACACCCTCCAGGGAGGGAGGAAACGTTACCTTGGGAATGCACATGGTGGGCTCCGACAGGCGAGGGTAGGTATAGGAGCTGTACGAGTGTCCCTGTGGGTGGGTTTTAAATGCACTTGCTCCGAAGGGCATCATGGGTTCCTGGAGTCCCGACCCTGACCGGGACCTCTGCCGCATGGTGGGCTGCGGGCTCGTCTGCCCGAGGTAAGACGACTTTGGCCTCCTGTAGTCATCCAGGCTGGGTCCCCATTCACTCTCACTGAAAACCAGGCTCTCCTTGGAGCACCCGCTGGTCCCTGCAGTTCTAGAAGGCGTGAACTGGAATGAGTAATCTAGAGGAGAGCTGCTGGAGGCCCTCTGGTACTCCCACTTGAGGTCACTGTAGTCACTGGCTTTGCTCAGTGAGTCCAAGTGAGTGTGATAATCGCCGGGAAATCTGGCAAAATCGGATTTCAACGGCTTCATCTCAGAATAGTAGGCCTCCCCGTGCTTCATTTTCACCACGTGCCCGTTCTGCTTGGCGGCATGGCCGCCTTTGTAGTAGGGATCCAGCTCGTCTCCATAGAGACTCTTCTCTCTGTACTTCTCAGTGGTGTAGTCAGCAGTGGTATCGGACTCGCTGGAATACTGGGAGAAGGTGACAAAGCCATTCTCCTCGCGGTGGCCTTGACCCCGCCCTGAGGCGCCCTGGTCGGGGGTGGGCGGGCTTTCTTTCCTCAGGGAGTTGGATCGGGTCACAGAGATGTTGTCGAAATCCTCCAGCAGGCCATTGATGGAGGTCTCCTTACAGGGCTTGTTTCCTCTAACGATTGTCTGGAATAATAAAGGTAGTACTGTTGAAAGAAAGCATTTCCATGCTTTGAACTGGGTGGAGGAACCCCACTCCCAAGCCACCCAATTTCAGCCACAGAGGAAAACAGACCCCAGAACATTTCCTTAAAAAAAAAGATTAAGAAAAAAAAAATCGTTGATTGCTTTCTGTGGTGAAATAAATCAAATACTAAACAATCATGTCAAATTGCAAATTTTTCTGTCTCAATAGAGAGATTGAACATTCCTTAAGCATCCAAAAACCATTTAGAATGCAATACGGTCTTTGTCTTAATCTACTATCAGTAGAAAATCAGTAGAAGATTTATGGAAAATCTCTGTTTCCTCTTCCTCTACTTAAATAATTCCTAACCATTTAGTAATAAGTTGTTGATGATCATTTTAACAGTCTGCAATTTTTACACTCATTATTCAGATGATTTTCAAAGCCAGTTGACAATGTCACTTAAATATGAACATATCTGGAAGTGGGTGTACATTTTTTCCCACCCTTCTATGGAAGACACATAATTGAAGCTATCAGATTTTATAGAAGAGGAAAGAAATTTCTGAACTGGAAAGAGGGAACAGCACGAAGACTTCTTGTGGGATTTGGTTTGTGATCAACTGTGATAGTCTTACCGAGTGCATAAATACAGTGCTCGTTCTGACCACCCCCCTTGTGCAGCATCACAGCTGAATTTGGGGTGACTTGGTATTGAGATGTCTGTACCTGAATCTCAATGACAAATTACCAAGCCCTCATGTTCCCTTTAATAGGCCTAAATAACATCGCAGTATCAGGAACAGAAAGAAATCACAAATCACTTACAAAGCCAGCTGCACCTTGACAATGACAAGATTTGCGGCAAAATATGAAGGGGGTGGATGAAAGAACAAAGAAGGTGTTGTGACTTCAGACTTCCAGGATTTTAAGAGAAAAATATCTTTGAGCAAGTCTCAAGGAGTTTAAAACCTCAGTTAGTACAGGAGATTTCAAACTGGAAGAAAAATATTCAAAGTTGTCCTGCAGCCTGTCTTTATAGATCAGTACTTTTTAAACTATCCTAGTCAAAGACAAGTCTTGTCTCCCCCACATTTCTTGCCAATCACCCTGGACTACTGCTGATGGCCTATAAGCTTTTCTTTAAAATAAACCTTTTATCGGGGCCTCCCTATTGGTGCAGGGGGTAAGTCTCAGCACCACCAAGCTAGGCCCAGCTACTGACACCTGAGTTCAATCCCCAGGCAGGGAGCTGACCCACATGGTGCAGAAGACTTCTCCTGTCTTGCCACCCTGCTCCCCTCAACAGTGTATCTCAGTAGATCTGTTCTGCTCTCCACTCTGTCTCTGGCCTATACCCCAGTTCCTGTACACATACATAAATACAAAAAAAAATTTTTTTTTAAGTTTAAAATTAACCTTTTTTTTTGGAATTGTTTCAGATCGACAAACAAGTTGGAAAGAGAATATCCAGAACCCATATATCTCCCCTTCCATGTTACTGTGTTCCCTCTATCTTAACATCTTGCATCACTGTTAACTGGCCCCCATATTTCCGCAGCTTCCAAGGGGGAAGCCTAGGGTTCCAGGCTCGCTGTGTTTGTGAGGGTGCACAAATCTGTCACGCTTCCTCAGGCTCCTCTAGTCTGTGAATGTTTCTTAGGCTTTCCTTGTTTGGAAGTCTGCTAGTTCTTTAAGGAGCGCTGCTCGGGTATTTTCCAAACTGGCCCTTAACTGGGTGTGTTTTGAGTTTTTTCTCAGTGTTAAAGTGGTTACTAATTGGACGAAGAAGCCCAAAGAGCAAGAAGGCACCTCACACCACCGCCAGGGTGTCCTTCTCAGCATGCTTATCACTGCTGATGTTGACGCTGTCACCGACTGAGGGAAAGTTTGCCAGGTGTCTCCTCTCCCTACCTGCTTCCTACCCTGCACTTTTTGGTCCTAAGTCATTAAGTACATATTCGAGGGGTGGGGAGTCACTCTACTTCCCTGAGAGGAGGGGTCTACATAAGCATTTGGAATTTTTCTGTACCTGACACATGCCTCCTCTTTCAATTTTTCATTCAATCATTTATTTATATCGGGGGGATGGATCACAGACATTTTATGCAACGGCTTACAATCCAGGACCACAGTACTTGTTTTATTGTTCAAATTGTTCCAGTTTGGGTTATGAGAGTTCTTTCACGTTTAGGGGGGTGACCTTTTGACAAATCCCCATGCATTTATTTTCTGAGCATTTACTTTCTGGGGTGACAACATGCTCCAGGTTCATGTATTTGCGTCTTCCCTACTCCTGCCCTAAAGTCAGTCATTTCTCTAAGAAACCCAAATTCCTTTTATTGGATAAAGGTATTCAGAACTAATATCTGGGCGCTGGGTATGTGCATTGCTACTGCGGAAGGGTCACTGCTTCCAGTTCCTCTCTGCGACCAGACAGAGCCACACATCTATACTTACATGTGTCCCTCTGTGTCTATGTTGTGCTAAACATGGATTCATACTAATGTCTCTGAATTTAACCTAGTATGACATGGCTTTTCTAGCTTCCCCCCCTTATTTAAAATGCTCTCTAACACCTAAAACCCTGCATACCACCATCTGTCATTTGTTTCCTTATTCAGTCCCAGTATATTTATAGGTACAGCAACTTCAGAATTATCAACCCAGATCACAAGGGGAAACAACTGTGCCAACAAGAGCACACTGCTTATGGACAGTTCTTTGGGAGTTTACTGTTCGTCTTCTTTCAAATAGTTTTCCATATTTCTTAGGTTAGTATCATTTTTTCCTGCACCTTCCTTCAATGAAGGTACTTATATATTCTTTTGTCACAGTCTGCATTCCATCCTAGGATCCTCTGATCTGGTTGACTTTTTAAAAGAAAACTAAATATATTAGTTCACTCGTTGTGTGGAAAGTTCTGTGAGTATTAACAAATGCACAGGATCATGCATTCACTATTTCTTTGCCATGCAGATTAGTTTCACACCCCACATTCTTCATCTTCCTAGTTGCAACCCCCTCCCCAGTTCCTGGTACCACTGATCTATTTTCTGTTCTTTTAGTTTTACCTCTTTCAGAATATCGTATGAGTGGAGCCTTTGGCCTGTTATCTTTCACTTAGCATAATGCATTTAAGTTTCATCCAGGTTGTTCTATGAACTGATAGCCTTTTCTATTTATATCTGATTTTTTTTAATCAATAAAATGGAATGTTATGACTGTGCATACGGGGGAAATACATTGATTGATGACCAAAGGACTATCCCTAGAGAGAAAAATAATCGTACATCTTATTTCTCTACCAGGACCTTTACCCACAGCAACAATGCCCCTGCCCGCACCGGCAGATGAATATAAAACTACAGCGCACAGGAAAGAGTGACAGGATGAAGGCAGAAGGGACAAACTGGACATCCCTGAATGCATTCAATATGAATACTAGTGACTCACCCTCAAAAACATCAAGTCTATTTGAGCAGCTTCCTAGTGCACTTCAACTATATCTTACCTTTATACTTTTCTTTATATTTGCTCAGGGTGTTCCTCAAACCTTCTTATATGTACCATTACTTTCAGAGGATTTTAACTATTGGCTTCCTCTCCTCTTCAACAATGCTTGGCATACATTTTAAGAAAACAATATTAGTTTATTTATATCAAACTATAAATGTCTTTTTTAGCCAGCATTCTGGAGAGGCTCTTGTATATTACTAAGCTTCATGCACAAGAGGCAGCTTACTCCAAAGGTGATCAGGAATCTACTCCTCCCCCCTACTGCAGCTTTCTATGAATTTAAACTAATTGAAACAGTATTTCAATTAGTCTCTCTTGTCTGCCACCTACCCTCCCCTATCACCCCCATATGTGAATGCATGAATTATCCTGCTCTGGGACAGAAGAATTGTCTTTGGTATCTCAGTGGTGGAAGGGATCTCACCATTTAAGGTGGAAAGGATCTCACCCCCAACCCCCACTAAAAAACAGTCGACTTCATCAAATGACATGGAATTGATTTCAGATTCAAATCCAAGTCTTCTCTCTCCAATATGCTCTAAGTTATTCTTCTAAGGCATTCTGAAGACTTTTTTTTTTTTTGAGTTAAAACAGTACCTGTTGGTAATATAAAAGCTTGGTGTGTGATACCATGACCCATCAAAAATGGGTCATTGAAAGAAATATTGCTGTTAGAAACTCCATCCCCCACCCCCTGCAATAAATTGTTGAATTTACAGAATATGAATAAATCTAGGTTCTGGTCTCAATTTATCCACATTTGCTTTGTGCTAAGTTTGATTCTTTCATTACCTGTTTGTCATTTGTAAATAAAATATTGTTTGACATTTAGTAGTTCCTCTTCCAACCCCTTCAACCAAGAATTATAGAAGCTAATGGAAGGAGGGATTATAAAACAGTTTTAAAAAAAGCTAATGCCTTCAGGTGGCCACACATGTATAAATATGGAATGAATTAAGATGATCTGAATATAGGTCATCAATGAAGACAAGTAAAATATGAAGACCATAAAGAAAAGATAAGAGAAAAACAAACTGAAAAATCTAAGTTTTCAGGAAGAAGAGAATTATGAGCTAGGTCCAGGAGAAACAATAGATGTAACTGGATGAGAGGAGAGAAAGTGGTAATTACCAGGTCCCCATTAGTGAATGACAGTGGTACAAAAATAATCAAATGTGTTAAGATGCCACCATCTTTGAAGATATGATGGAAATCATAATTAGAGAAGAAAAGGGAACTGTAGACAAGAGAAAACCTGTTAGTTCATCTTCAGAAATAAACAGTTGCATTGGGAACGGTATTAGTCTTAGAAATTTACTACTAGGCCACAAGTATTAAGAAGAAAATAATCCTTTCTTGTGTGATTCCTTTTTAAAAATATGCCAGTCATTGCAATCTCCCTATGTTCCCGTTAAAACCTTTGCAAACTCATGTATAAGTTAAATGAGTAGTCTTGAAACTAACTCACTTCATTTGCAGG